AATTCATTAAGGGTCACAGAACACACGACGGACAACGAAATCACTGTCAGTCCTGCAGATAAATTTAAAATACCCCAACATGTAAGCTTATGACAGGAAACTGGAGGAAACCAATAAATACATGAGAAGAAGACACCATCCTGTCAACCACCAATCGACCAAGATTCGTAAGATTCATTCGTCTAAGAAGTTACTGCGCCTTTTTTATCGCATTAAAATAATATTTGCATTCCTTAGGGTGCATTAACACGTTCTGTAATTTTTTTGAAAAAGTGAGGCATGCATCCAGCCCCATTTATTCTGATACCTTTAAAGAAAATACAGGACAACCGATTGCCTTCACAAGCCATCTAATTAGTAAATAGTTTTCCTGTGTGTAACTTAATAATTCCATCTTTTAATCGTAAGACTGCGAGTTAGATTCCAGCTTCCTGCCCTGCCGGACATCGTTATGTCCTTGGACAAGGACCTTGACCCCAAGTCGCATCCTTAGTTGCTTACAGATTGTTGTGTCTGTAGTGCAAGTGAGTCAATTTGCTGCATAAGTTTGTTTTTACTGATCACTTTAGCAAATAAACATCGTCATGAAGACCCAAAGAACACACCAGATTAAAGCATGACTACGCTAGAAAACGGTATCCTAAAATCTCACTGTGGGTTCAGTCCATTAGTTGAAATGGAGAGAGTATGGTGCAACTTCAAACCTACCAACAATCGACTGTCTACCTAAATGGAGAAGACGAGTCAAAACGGTATTAATCACAGAAGCATCCAGAAGGTGATTGCTGCAACAATCAACTACCATAGTTTGGAGAATCTGTCAACGGTACAACGATTAGTTGAGCTCTCCACAAATCTGCTGCTTATGGCGGATAGGGAAGTTTGTTGAAATGTTCAAAGAGAGCCACTGCAAGCCCCCTTTGGCAGTTTGCATTGAGTCACACAGGGGAGATGGAAAAACCTGTGGAAGAAGGTTCCAGATGGTAACTGTGGGCTTTCTGCAGTGATCCGCAGCTCAGATGAAAGAATCTGTCAACTACTATTTGCGCACGCCGCAGATCTGTGCTTCGTGGAAGAGGGGTAAGAACACATCTGCTCCTTAAAGAGTCCCACATGTGATCCCACTTGGTGTTTGTTATAATCCGGGGTTATAAACCAACAATGTACATTCACCAGAACACGCCATAAACCCCACTGGGGGAAACATGGAGTAGGGATGATCGAACTATGGGAAGGCCGTTCATCAGCAGGGGGCAAAGAAGCTGGTCAGAGTTGATCAGAGATAAATACCTGCTGGAGGCTGACTCGGACGACAACTTTGATCTTCCAAGAAAGAGCTGTAGTGGATTGTTTTAGATCAGAGCTCTGTCACGTGCTAGAGTGGCCCAGTCAAAGTTCACACCTGAGTCTAATTGAAAATCAGCGACAAGGCTTGAAAAGTGTTAAAAGTGTTAAAGTTGATACTCAAAAAGCACCTGCAGAGAAAGGTGGCTCTACAAAATACTGAGTTAGGGAGGCTGAATACAAATGTGGATCATTATATTTGCTTTTTAATAGTTAAAAAAACTGAAAACCTGTATCATTTAATTCTACTATACAATTATTAACCATATTTTATTGGTTTATTGTATGAAATCCCAATAAGGGATATTAGATTGTGATCTTACCATTTAGGTCTGTGGCTGGAAAGGGGCAAAATAAAAAAAAAAAGGTGAGAGTACGAACATTTGTGGAAAGCTGCTGAGGTTCGTCTCGGAACCAGATTCTGCTCATCAGGAAGTCCAATAAACACAGTCTACTGATGATGAAATGCCACATTTGCTTTACAACAATTTTATTCTCTCGTTAAATAACCAACCGCAACTGCTAGCACAGACTTGCACACTTTCCAAAAATACCCAGTACATTTCCTACAGCAGCATGTGTTGTTTGTTTATTTTTTAAAGAATGATAAGACTCTCTGGTCACAGAGTGAGCTGGCCAGGAAACGCACCGTTCTCCTGCTGTATTTTCCTGCCATGCGTTTATTGATTCTACATTTGGCCTCCCTCCATGCTCGTCTGATTAGAATACTTGGTTCTATATGCCTCACGGTGTAACGATCTCTCCCGTGTCTCGGAGTGAGTTTTTGCAATATTTTTGCCCTCTGAGTTCTATTTGTGCATTGTTTTTGGCTCGGTCGATACCTGCAACACTCCCACAATATTTCATCCCAAACAAATACCCTGCGTAATGATCAGCGGCATGCGGGACTACAGCGCTCTAATCAGCATTCCTCTCCCAGCTACACAATGCCAAAAGGTTTCAAAGCATAAGGAATTGCTTTTTCGCCAGCCACAATATGACAAGTCAAACACTAATTACAATATCTGCCAAAATTATATCAACAAATCATTTTTGCCCGTCTTATTACATTTTCCCCCCACCCCTATTTGGCCTGAAGGTTTTCCCAGTGGACCCTGAAAGAAATTCATCATTTATGCAAGAGCTGTGGACTGAATTTATGGATATAAATTCTGTTGGCGGCATGCCTCTCTCCCTGCCAGCTCGGAGCATAAAGAAAGCCTGAGTCATGTTTAAATATGGACTGTGGGAGGTCATAAATCCTTATCGAAACAACCTTTGACCACTCAGAAACTCCATACATACGGCGCAGCAGGCCTGTGAGCCGTTGACGTAGCCGATAAGGAGCTGGAGGAATTGAACGCTTGTTTACGGCTGAGAACCGTAAAAGACGCTCAGGACGGCACGTTTTTGTTTTTTCCCTCTCCGCAGCTCCAGTCGGCGCGGACAAATTTGTTTCCACTCCTGGGAAAGACGGGTTTTAAAAATAAAAATAAAAAAATGTGTTTTATTACATCAGCATGAACTTACTCTGAGAAATGTATGTTAGAAATAATTGTTTTTCATGGTGGAAGAGCTTTTGGCAATAAGGGGTCATTCAGTCTTCCTTACAACATTTCACAAGGTTAACCAGAAGGATTATTCTGCGATCTCTCTAGATCATCCTGGACTTTTCTCTAATGTTCTCTTCAGCTTACTCCACTCGTTTTCTGTAGGATTAACAACTGGGGACTGAGACGGCAGGAGAAAAACGTTTTGGATCATTATCCATCTGAGGACAGTTTGGGGAGACAAACTAATCTAACAGTCGTGTTTTTGGACTTTGGGAGGAAGCTGGAGTACCTGGACAGAACCCACCAATGCACAGGGAGAACATGCAAACGTCATGCAGAGAGACACCAGGCCGGGATTCAAACCCATGACCTTCTTGCTGCATGACAACGGTGCTACTAACTGCGCAGCCATTGTTATCTAAAGTCCCAATACATTTTCTGTTAGAGTTCATAAGGCTTTTATTTAAAATCCTCCACTATTTCAACAAATTAATTTCATGCAATTTGAGAAGACGTCTTTGGAAGAGGAAAAGAAGCCGACGGCGTCATAGATTTTCTACCATGTTTCATCTTGGGTTGGTTTCATAATCTGCACATAGCGTTTGTTGTCGTCCTTCATCCGACAAAAGTTGAGCTAAACTCCCCGGAGATCTCCAGACTCCACCTGCTCACTCTGGTGTTAGTACAATATAATTTTTTTTTTTCCTAGAAGACCCATTGGCATTTAGATAGTGACTAATGGTTGTCATGGAGATGTGGTGGCCACCCTTCGTCATTCTCTATCAGTGAGCAGTGGACATTTTTTTCCACCTTCATACCCTCATTTTCTCTACTGAGCAAGAAAACTATTCTTTCCTTTCCTAGAAATTGATGCTTTTTTCATGTCATATTTATGCAACAGGGAAAGTAAGAATTCATTATAAAAATGCTTCTCTTAATTAGTTTTCCAGGGATCATTAGGGGTAGCAGCCAGTGTGCCATCTGTAGCTTTAACAACTAAACACTGACGTTATAGAATATTACTTTCTCTAATCAATAAATGGCCTCGAGGAAAAACTTAAATTTATTTTCAAGTTTCTACATCTGCAATGAAACGTATACGTTTATTTAAAGGGTCTTAACACATCTTTACCAAGGCTACCAACAGAAAGCCTTGCTCAATTACTTGCTCTAAATGAACAAGTAATTGAAGCGGGAAGAAAAGGTCGCAACAAGGTGGATGATAACTAAATTACAGCTAACCCGTCTCGACCTCGGCCGCACTGCCTCCAGTCTCTCCTTCATTTTCCCGCACCAGAGCGATTCTTCTCGCCCCGAGAGGTAGAACACCGTCGAACCGAGGATTTTCCTGCACGTTTCTGCATCCAAATCGGTTTCATGTCGTCCCACGAAAATAAAAAAACAACAAAACGAAACAAAGACATCTGCTACTTAAGCTCCTCTGGCTCTGAAAGCAGAACCTAAAAGTTTAAACCCGCTCATTTCCAGGCTCTCCTCTCCGGAGCCCAAGGTGGAGCGTGTAATCCACTTGTGGCGGGTTGAATGAACACTTCCGTCGGGGATTTAGGAGAACCAGAGGAGCTCGCAGGAGGAAAGCAGCAAAAGGAGGCGTGTGGAACCACGACAGCCGCCTTCGAAACACAACCGAAATGTGTCACGTTCAGGCAAAAACACACAGATTAAAAGGCATTTCTTTCTTTCCACGCAGTGGCTCTTAGAAATGTGCATATCTCCTGTTAAGTTTTATTTTTATGTTAAAAAAAAGACACCATGATAAATAGTTTTAAAACTGTTCTCACCTTTAATGTGACATTAGCTTTGTACACTTAATCATAAAAACGAAGCAATCTGTTAGGGTGGGGGTGGGGTACATAAAACTTTTAAAAAGCAGGAGGAGCCCGGTTACATAAGAGTGAATCCCTTAAACTAACGCTTTGTTGAAGCACCTTTTTATTCAGTTTCAGTTTGCAGATTGCTCTCTCAGCACTCTACATCTTCTGCTACTAATATTTGCCTAGATGCTCAGTTATATTTAGTCCGGCGCTCTGCCTCTGCCATTGTGAACCATTAATCTTCTGGTGAAGCTGTTGTTTTCGTACGCGCGTTTGGACTTATTTTGATGGGTAAACATGAGAACTCTCTTCACCTTTAGTTGATTTTGAGTCAAAATGGACCCAAAACCCTCCAGAACTTCTTAATCAGTCTTGACAAAAACCTCAGTTTCATAAGGCGAAAAGTAGTGCCACAGCATGATGCTGCCACCACCATGCTTCATTGTGGGGAGGTTTTTTTTGTGTTTTTTTTTGTTTGGTGATCCACAGTGAAAGGTTCAAGTTTGACTTCACTCCACCATTATTCGTTTTACCAGAATATTTAACCAAACCAACATATTTTCTTCTGTTTATCAGCCATGTTAGTTTTGACTGAAACACTTTAACTTACTTTTACTCTTTGGAATATTTAGTGCAGCTTTGTTTACAGTTTGGTCATCTGCTGCGGTGTTGTGTAAAGTTGGTGAATGATGTCATAGCGATACGACGTGCAATAAATAAACACAGGCTTAACCAAACAGCGTCGATGTCTTCCTGATCTGACAAGCATAAAACCTCAATAAACTGTTTCGCTACTAGAGAAAAATGAACTGAATATTTCAGTCCCAACAACAAGGTTATATTAAAAGTTTTATTTCTTACATGTTAGTTGAAAAAATTTGAACACAAGGTTTTGTTGTGCATGGTATTGTTGAACCACACATGTTAGAAAGTGAAACTTAAGCTGGTCATCACACGAGAAACAATACTGTTTGCCGTTTCAACACACCATTTCTCCTTTCCACATAACATAAATTAGATCTCACTGGATATAGATTACCTTAAATATTTAACCGCATTTTCATTCTAGTGAACATTTTTGCTGTTATTTAGTTCTTGTCATTCCTCTTGTTTTTTGTTGTTTTTTTTCCAGGAAAATACTCATAAGTGATTTTCAGCCACAAAGTTGACAGAGAAATGCAGAACACAACAGTCGCACGTAAACACAGGAGACTGTGTTTACATCTGGAGAGAGAGCAGAACCGGAGGCAGATGACCAGGGTAGAGACGTTTTTCAGGGACCCAAGGTCTTATTATGATTTTATTTATTTTTTATTTTTACAAATTACAATTAAATTTGAAGGCTATAAGAGGCTTCTAGACAACAAAACAATTAGTTGTTATAAGTGGGGGGTAAGGCTCTACTGCAGTACAACCAGAATGCAACAGGACGTCCTATAACTCTTCCAAGTGTTGCTGTAATCCTCTTGGCAGCCCCCCGGCTCTTGTTTTATTAAATGTGTCACTTATTTTGCAATTAATCTCCTCAGTTGTTGATGAGTTTATTCAATGGACCATGGCATGCAAACGTTGCGGTGTAATTGTTGGTACCTTCACGCAACGAGATCCATTTGATCCTTCGTGACCTCGCTCTCTGGAAACGAGGGCTTTAGCTTACAGAGGCAAACGAGCAAACATCAGGACAGATGAGCATCATCTCAATTTAATCTGATTCATAACAACATGAAGTTGGTGTGAATCTTCACGCTGAGATGAAACCAAAAGGTGCGTGTTAATTTGATGGTGTGCAAACTTATGCAACCGGGCTACTGCACTTTTCTTTGTTATATTTTCCCTCTGTTTCTTCAGTTGAACTGACATGTTTCAAATTAAAGGTTTCACCTCGTGAATTGGCGTTTTAACCAGAGTGCGTACACTTTTGCCATTGCTCCTGTCATGAATGGGTAAAGTACAGACTTTTTTCTGTCCTTTGATTTCTTTTTTTGTTGTTGTTTTTCCTCCCATCAACCGTCAGTGTTTCTTTTAATTTGTACAGTCAAAAACACACGTATTAATATATCTTTACACAAACAATGCATAAATATAATGACAGCAATAATAAATACAAAACTTGATATGAAAATTAACGCTGTTACTCCTCTCACACTCACTCGCACACACACATACACAGTCATCCAAGGCCTTAACTGGACCTGACACATTTGTACATCTCAGTCCTGAGGTTAGTCTCATGAGCTTTAAATATCCCTCATTTGGGTCGATTGTGACGATACAAACGGAAAACGTACATATTTTCTTTTATCCGTTCAGACAGATCATCTCCCATGGAAGAGAAGCATCTTTAATAAGGAGAGTGGCTTCATGCAAATGATGCTCTCTTTGTGATTGCCCCCCACCCCCATCATACACACGCACACACACACACACACACACACACACACACTGGGTACGGCTGAGCCCGTCTGCCAACTGTGGAATAACTCAACCGGACTAACGCTATCTGTGAGAAGAAGGTGCAGAGCTGTTACTCGTCTGACCAGATGGCAACGGGACGCACTCGCACACGTACAAACTCTCAGAGAGCGCATATGTCCTAAATGCTTTACGAGCTACATGATTGGAACCGAATGAGTAAGTAAAAACAGTGGCTTTGTAGGTTCATGAGAGTATGCTCTGACTAAGAACAAGGTCAGTCTCTCCGCAGAGCCCATTTGTGCCGCAGCAGATGTCCTGTCGTGGGTTTGGACCGTACACAGCTAATCCCACCACTCCTCCCATGTCAGTCGGGGCGATAATTAGCTCCAAATATATCTTCCCATTCAATTCATCCTTTCTGCGCACATCGTCGTGCCAAAAAGCCCCAAGTATTTCCTTCAGCGCTGCAGACTATCTGCTTGCATCAGAGATAAAGCCTCCTTATCTTCCAACAGAGAAAAAAATCAAAATCCATTTATCTCCGCTCGGAAAACGAGACCGCGTGTCTCCTGAGGGCGGAGCACTCACACCTCACACTCTATGGATCCTGAAATGGTGCACGTGCACGGCCTGTTTTCATTCACCAATGAGTCCAGCGCCTCCGAGTTGGAGTGGTAAGTCAGGTAGTACTCCTGCAACTGAGAGTTCAGGTCCTGTTCCTGCTTGCGGGCCTTTTTCCTGCGCTTATGGTTGACTGAGTGCTCCTGCAGCTGCCTTATGGTGTTGGGGTAGCGCCTCCACGAGACGTAAATAACCAGCAGGATCAATGCCACTGACAGGAACAGGGCTACGCTGCCTGCAATGATTTTATGGAAAGCCATATGTTCAAACTGCAGCTCTGGGATAAATGGCGTGGAGGTCTGTGGAGCAAAGGGGGGCATAGAGCTCAGGGTGGTGGTGGTGGTGGAGGCGACGGTGGGATCCGCCATCTTTATGTGTGTCCCGCCAGGACTCAGAGGAGATGGGGTAGATTTCTGTGGTGGTGGTGATGGATGAGTCAGGGCTGGGACTCCGGTGGCCGCCGACCAAACCGTGACGCTCACAGCTTGGGTGGAGGTCAGAATGACCACAGTTGTGGTCGAGAACATGTTTGCAGCGTCCCCGCATATCGAGCGGTTCCTCACCACTTCCACCACCCTTTCGCCCTGCGTGGCCTTGGGACCGCTGCAAATCATGTTGATGTCTTTGGGGTCCCTGAAAGTCCGGAGCCAGCCCATGAGGGGGCAGATGCTGGGGCTGCAGTCCCAGGCGTTGCCCGCCAGGCTGATTGTGGTCAGGGCGGTCCACGCCTCCACCACCTCCACAGGAACGCTGCTCAGCTTGTTAGTTTCCAGGTTAAGCGTCTGCAAGCTCGGCATGCAACGGAAAACGTCCGGCTCCAGCGTTTGGATTTCGTTCCCAGACAGATCCAGCTTCTGCAGTTTCGGCCAGGTCCAAGGAACCCCTTGGCTTATCGACCGGATGCGGTTCCACGCCAGATAGAGCGCCTGGAGGTTGGTAAGGCGTGGGAAAATGTAGAAATTAATCCGGGAGAATTGATTGTGTTCCAAATGTAGCTCTCTCAGCTTGAAGAGTCCCAAAAACGTGGTGCGAGTGAGGCTGCGCAAGCGGTTGTAACCCAAGTCCAAAAACTCCAAGCTGCGGCATTCCAGAAACGTGCGAATGAGGATCTGTTTCAGCCCATTAGATCTGAGGTGCAGATTCTGCAGCTTGCGCAGCCCGTAGAAATAGCCTGGCTGCAGAGACTGCAGCTGATTATAAGAAAGGTCCAGATTTCTCAGGTTTGGTATGGCACTGAACGTGTTGTTGTGCAGAAAGCTCAGCTTGTTGGAGCTGAGAATAAGCTCCTTCAGCCTGCGCACGCCGTGGAAGGCTAAGGCGTCGATGCTGTGGATGGAGTTGTGGTCCAAGTAAAGCCAGATGAGCTGATTGAGCTGGGCAAACTGGTACGGCAGCAGAACCAGCAGGTTGTTATAGCGCAGAGACAAACCCTGGCACCCCGTCGTGATGTTTATTGGAATGTCTTGGAAGATGCCGGACTCGCAATAAACAATCTTTCCTTCACAGCGACAACTCGCGGGGCACATCCTCTCCCCCTTGCTGAGCAGCAGCAGAACAGCTGCCTGCAGAAGAAGACAAGATAACCTCCAGTCCAACATCACAGAACCTGTTGGGGGTAGAGTGGGGCACAGGCAATCAAAGGGATGACTCAGTTTCTGAAAATGCATGCAACAAGATGGATTGAATGAGTAAAGGTAAGACTTTCTTTTCCTCAAACAGTGGCTATGCTCTGGGTAACAGCTTGATGTCTGTTTTTGAGACCTGCTTCATTAAGAAATGTTCACAGGTACTTTTACTATTTACAGATGCATATGAAGACAAGTTGGAGACGAATGTAGTTTTTATTAAGCGAACAGGTATATGTAAAAAAACAATTTTTGTAGCAGAAATGCTGGCAACGAATAGAGACAGACTCATTATAGTAGAAATCTTTCAGTTTAAGCTGATCACAGCTGTCGTCCTGGCTACAAGGAGACTGAAGAGACAGAAACTGTGTCACTAAAACAGTGAAAAACTGAATGACTTACCCATTATCACTGAATAAAGGAGTAATCCTCCGGGGGAAGGAGAGGAGAAAAAAATGGATTAGGAGCGTTTTTTAAACTGGTCTCAGTCAGTCTGCGCAGCTGCAGGGGTCGGTCCGCATACTGAGCGCTTGCACTTGGGCAGCAGACGCAAGTTTCTCCGCAGCGGTCAGAGCCGCGCCGGGTCCTACGGGTGACGCTTCATAAAGGGGGACGCTGTCTCACTTGGCTTGTAGTTGGACCCGCCGCTCCACTTCAGTCTGCTGTGCTCGCAGTTACCCATTTGAGCGCTAGTGGACTGATGCACATCACCCCCTCCTTCTCCTCTCTGTGCTCTCTTTCCCTCCTGCCTCTCTTTACCTCACTCCTTTCTCAGAGGCGTAGGCGTCCTCAAGAACCTAAGCTTACAAATGATGGGTTTCTGCCATGGAAAATCTTGCCATTAACTAATAATTGCTAGGAGTGTTTATCAGTTTCATTTGATTGCTGCTGGTGTTTTTAGGGATGTTGAATTTAAATGTGGACCATGTCCTCTGGTATGAAGGGTGAAATAAAACAGTTTTCCAGGGATTTTTTGTGAATCTTAATAGATTTAGTTCATTTTTCTGATGTTTGCCAGAAGGCGTGTTGATCTGCTGTGAGCAGTATTATGTGAAATTGACTTTTCTTTTTTTTTTTTTTTTTTTTTTATTTTTTTTCACGTGATAA